AACTACATAATACAATACAAACAATAACTTACAAACTAAATACTATAGTGTTGAACGAAAAACCTTATTTATTATTCTCTAATTTGTGGAATATCATGTTCTAATAGTAGAGATAGATCTTGAAATACCTGAAAAATTAATTTGAGTCTTGTTAATATGTAATATTTATTTGACATCGAAGTCAAAACTTATTCTTCTTCAAACTTTCTTTGTTTTCTTTTCATCATCTAAAATCCTAAACCCTATATATTGAAATATCTTCTCTCACAGCATATCATATCATTTTCCTTCTTACTCAATCATTACTATTATATAATTAATATACAAACAAACAAAAAAATGTAGGATTCAAACAATTAAATCATGAAAACATAAAAATGCAGTGTATAAATTGTAAATTCACTAAAACGCATAAACGGGTGATCACAAACTACAAAAATTCAATTTAAATAACAATCTAATTGAGACATTTATGCAAAAACATAATTGAGATCCTAAAAACAATCATCAATTCAATTTTAACATAAAAGAGGAGACATAGAATATGTTGGGCCTTTCGAGGGGATTCACTAGGGAGAACAATATCAATGAGACATGAGTCCAACCCATATAAGAGATTGACACCACTCTTAACGCAAAACCTTAAGGCATTAGGTTATGAGTCACTTCTTTATATGTTGCTCAACTTTCTCATTCTTACTCAATGTGAGACTTAACTCACACTTAGATTACCCAACAATCTCCCCCTCAAGTGTGAATCCCTTCATATCACTTGTTGGATCTTTCGAGGGGAATTCACTAGGGAGAACAATATCAATGAGACATGAGCTCAACCCTGTTGGTTTTTTTGGAAAGCGTACTAATATTATCAATCGCAGTACAATATTTCAATTAAATAAAAGTCGATCACACGAGAAACGGTTTCACTGGAAATTCTGAATCATATGCTTACTAAGTGTATTAACGTAAAATGAGTTTTTTCATAAACGGTTGGATTGAAAACAAAACAGTAAAAAAATATAAAATATATTTAGAGAAGATGAATTATGAGAACTTAGGATTGACTTATTTCTTTTTCCCTCATTTGCATAATGACTAGGTCAAATTCATAACATCAATTAACCTATCAATATTGATGCTACCTACTCAAGTCATTCACATTGATTCCTCAACACATGAAATTCATAAGAAAACCTTATAAACATAGATTCCTTATACATTTAATAGATTTTTCAGCATTAGAATTAGGGAGTTAAGCAATTGAAACATCCATTATCATCCCTAGCAATCAACGTATCAAATATTCTTAACCTAACTAAGGATTTCAAGATATATTTTTCAATATATATGAACATCCAAGATAAAAACATTAGCAAGCATAAAGGATAAGAATAACAACATCAAGAACATAGATTAATATCTCAAAATATCACCAAGATACAAAAGAGTTCAAAGGAAGTGCACCAAACACTACAAGAAAATCGCGTATTTCCGACCGATTTTTACTGACGGATTTGTAGCCGTCGGAAAATAATCATTATCGACAATTATAAAATATTTGTGGAATTTGATGTTACTGACGAATATATCCATCAGTAAAATAATAATTAGTTACCGATGGATATATCCGTCGATAATTTATAGATGAATTTACCGACGGATATATCCGTCTGGTACATCCATCAATAAATTAACAATTAATTACCGACGGATATATCCGTCTAGTAAATTCATCTGTAAATTAACGATTATTTACCAACGGATATTTTCACTCGGTAAATTAACAATTAGTTACCGACGGATATATCCGATTCGGTAAAATTATATAATAATAATTTAATTATTTGCCTAATTAAAAAATAAAATATTTTTTATTTAATAATTTAATTTAATCATAATTAGATTAATTTATAATAATTTATTAAATTAAATAATTTTAAAAAATAAATATATAAATATATAAATATATAAATATATAAATATATAAATATATAAATATATAAATATATAAATATATAAATATATAAATATATAAATATATAAATATATAAATATATAAATATATAAATATATAAATATATAAATATATAAATATATAAATATATAAATATATTTGTATATTTGTATATAAATATAATTTATTTATAAATTATTATCAAAAAATTCTAGTAGCTTAGTCAGTAATAATTCAGAGCTATAAAAATATAATACTGAAGAAATAATTAATAATAAATAATAAGAATATAAAGGGGGAGGGGGTTCTATAAAAAAATATGCTATAAATAAGTAAAATATTTAATAAATAATAAAATTATTATCGACGGATTCCTGTCACGTAGATTAGACAAAAACTCGATCACCGTCGCACCTTTCTTCTCAAAATGCTCAACTATCTTTCTCAAAATGCATCTTATCTTTTTATAGAAGAATTTTTGCATCATTCATTCAAGCGAGTAATGGTGATTTTCGCTTAAGCGAGAATTGTTCGCTTGAGTGATTGAATTCCCGATAACTTTAACGTATTTTCACTCAAGTGAGCATCCGTCTCGCTCGAGCGAATGACTTCCAGAGAGTTTTAACGTATTTTTACTCAAGCAAACGTCTATCTCGCTCGAGCGAATCTTAGGCTGAAAATCTTCTTCCCTTTTCAACTATCTCGCTCGAGCGAATCTTAGGCTGAAAATCTTCTTCCCTTTTCAAATTTTTCTTCAATTAACTTGAGAATTATGATCTTTGCTCTTGTACACAGTTATTCTACAAATTCATTCTACATTGGGAGAAAAATAGATTATATTCAACATAATTTAAGTGGTTACATAACAATTCAAAGCATAATTACCTCAATTTTTGTCACTTAACAAACCCATATAAATGATTGACACCACTTTCAAACCAAAACCTTAAGACATTAAGTTATGAATCATACTTCCTTATATGTTGCTCAACTTTCTCATTCTTACTCAATGTGGGACTTAACTCACACTTGGATTACCCAACAATCTCCCCCTCAAGTGTGTGTCTCTTCATATTGGTACATTCCCTCGAGCATACCAGTGACCCTTCCATGTACCACCGTTCACTCTAACGGGACACGACTACTCTCAATCCAAAACCTTAAGGTTATGGGTCATACTTCCTGATATGTTGCTCAAATTTCTTATTCTTACTCAATGTGGGACTTAACTCACACTTGGATTACCCAATAGTCTTCCCCTCAAGTGTGAGTCCCTTCACATTGGTATATCCCCTCGAGCACACCAATGACCCTTCCATGTACTGCCCCTTCAAGTGTGAGTCTCTTCACATGGGTACATCCCCTTGAGCACACCAGTGACCCTTCCATGTATCACCGTTCACTCTAATAGGACACGACCACTCTCAACCCAAAACCTTAAGGTTATGGGTCATACTTCCTGCTATGTTGCTCAAATTTCTTATTCTTACTCAATGTGAGACTTAACTCACACTTGGATTACCCAACAATATCCCCCTCAAGTGTGAGTCCCTTCACATTGGTATATCCTCTTGAGCACACCAGTGACCCGTCGTTCACTCTAACATGACACTCTTACCTGACCCACTGTCGATCAACATTCGACTCTGATACCATTTGTTAGGTCTTTCGAGGGGAATTCACTGGGGAGAATAATATCAATGAGACATAAGTACAACCCATATAAGGGATTGACACCACTCTCAACCCAAAACCTTAAGAGATTAGATTATGGGTCATACTTCCTTATATATTGTTTAACTTTCTAATTTTTACTCAGTGTAGGACTTAACTCACACTTGGATTATCCAACAGAATATTAACTTCAAATATACAAAAAAAAACTCTAAAACTTAAATTCAATCAAAGAGAAATGTCACTCACTATGGTTGAAAGTACCTTGGGAGAAGTTGATTTGATCGCTGCTATTACTGTCACTTGAAAACCCTCGCGCATAGGAGGGAAAAGAAATCCTGAGTAATTAAAACACGACTTTTACGTCAAATCTTATAGGAACCGACATAAAAATTATTTTTTACATCGGTTAAAAAGTCATCTGACATAAAAAAAAAAAGTTTTTAGGTCGACCTATATGCAGTGGCGAATCTTCTTGGGAGCTGAGGGGGTCGTGGATCCCCAAAGTTTTGTAACTCCCATGTAATTTTTTATTTTGGTCCCCCAAACATAATTAACATTTAATATATTTACTTGTATATTTACAATTATTTTATCCTCTCGAGTCCCTCCTTTGTTTTGTAACTCTCATATAATTTATGATTTTGTTTCCCTCAAACTTAATAATTATTTAATATATTTAAGTATATATGTACAATTTTATCTTTTTACCCTTTCATTTTTTTTTCTTTTTATATTTATTTATTATTTATTAATAATATATTATTTTATCCTCCAAAATCAATGGTCAAGATCTCTCACTGCCCAAGTATGCGATTCAACAAAAATTGGATAAGGTAAAAAATTCATTTTTTACTAATGTAAATATATTTTTATTTAGTCATAAGGAATAATCGTATACATGATATACCTAGTTTTCATCATTCACACTCCTTTACTCTATTCTGAACCTCAATATATATATTTCGTCTCCGTAGTTAATAATATTAGTGTTCATTCTTTTTAAGATTCTCACGTGAGATGAGAGTACAGTACTCTAACAGATATCAGATATGAAATAAGAGGACGTGTGACTTCCAACCATTCTAAATTTAATAAGAGGACGTGTGACTTCCAACCATTCTAAATTTGCCTTCCCACAAATTTTAGTTTCAAATAATGTTAACACGTATCTGAGATTTTACTTGGTGGTATAATTTGACAGGAATCCTGACGAAGCATCTTGCTTTTTCAAGTGTACAACTTGTACTCCTTCCGTCCTTCTGTTTATCCAATAATATACATATAATTTTCCAATGTGATCGGCGATGGGTTGATATGACGGAGAGCATGAATTATATTATATATTATTCCGAGTTTCGGTATTACAAGAATGGGCGAAAGCAGAATTTTGGGCTTAATTCCATTATGCAGCTTCTGGTTTCATGATAAGGTATACGTCTAAAAGCTTAGTTGGTGCAGTGCATAATATAAAATCCTATCTCAAATGCTAATACAAAAGCTGCAGATTATTATACTTTCCACAATCAGTGGTCATCAATTAAAGTGGACCGTGCATGTACTACTATTAGTAAATAAACAAAAGTTGGCTGTCTAAAACTATTCGTTTGTCCTTGGATCTATTCTAACACTTGAGAAGTCTTCCGTTAAATAATGTTAAATATAGAAAAAATAGGATTTGAGATTAATCTTAAGTATAAATCACACATTAAATAATCTATTTATTATAATAAATAAATCTGCATCTAAAAATATAATAAAAAATATTATATAATATTATGATTAATAATATCTTAACAATATCTAATAAATAGATAACATTTTTACATTCTCTCTATTTAATCTCTCGGTGTGTGATAACAGATTAATTATTCATTACACTTGAATCTTTCAGTTTTTGGTCTTTACAATAATTGCTTCATGTGTAACATTTTCATTTAAATCTTACTTGAAACAAAAATGCTGATATGAAACTTTGTGGGATGAACTACACTGAGTATGGTTCATGAATTATACATTTTGGAGGTAATTAACTATACTGAGTATAGTCAGCTTCATGCAATATAGGTCCCATTGTGCACTCCAATTCCTGCCACAGAATATATTATCATCTGAAGCTGACTTGTCATCTGTGGGGCAATATAGTGCTTAATGTTGGGACGCCACACTAATTAAACTATTAAGAAGCCCACTTCAGTCATTTTATATGTAATCCACTTCCTGTGCTCCAGACCACAGTGTGTTTTTTCAACAATATATTAACGCAATTTGTACTAGTTGGAACCTGAGGAATTTCTATCTTATATTTAGAAAGTTTGGAACATCAAGATGGTGCGCGGACCAAAAATTAAATTTCCATGCAAAGTATATGATGACAACATGCCATTCTATTTTTTTAGTTTGTGTGAGAAATTAAGATAATTATTGCTCATTATGGTTGGTTGTAAAGCAATGCCACAGCTACAGGGGCAATAGAGAACTGAAACTCGTTCCACATGCTCTCACATCCAGTTTCAACTCCTATATAAATACCCTTTGGCAATGCTAATTTCACAGAGCAATAACTTTTTTGCAATTAGCTTGCTGCTTTTCCAGACAATAACATGTCTTCCATTGGAGCACGTTCAGCTGAAATTTACATTTTGGAGAAGAGGCAGAAGGAGAAGATGAAGAGAATGGAAGAGGAAAGAGTAGGGAGGGGTGAGGTGAGTGCTGAAGGGAGGAAGGTGACTGGTTCTAGTGTGGGAAAGAACAAGATACATCCAGGTAGTGAACAAGGAGCAAAACCCGATAAATGTCTTTAGGGCATGATGGTTTTTCTTACAAGCATGCTGTTACTCCTCTCTTCTTTTTTTTTTCCTTCTTTCCTTCTACCTGCTATGTGTGATCAAAGTTTTAAATGTTTGTTTCACTAGCTCAACAAAAAAAGAAAACCTTGTTGATTAGTTACTATATAGAAGTGATGAAACAGTGTTAATGTTAATAGAGTGGGCTTTTAGCTGTTTGTAACATGCATGTCACAAGGTTTAAGGTGTTGTGATGTCAAGAGCGTTTTGTATCTATGATCAGATTAAAAGCGTTATTGTGCATATTTACTACAAATAATCTTACTAACATATCCTTAATATTTTCTGTTTACATCACACGTATCTGTATTTTGTGCTACAGAAGAAATATTTTGATCGTGAATTCTTCATGCTTCTGCTTCTTTATAAACAATCATCCCATCCAATATAAATTTTAGTATCAGTCATCTACCTAATTCAATAAGATTACATATCTTTAATGGATGTAAACAATAAATACACTCTTTATACTTCACAACATAAAATTGAACAGAAAATTATATTTAACTACCACCCAACATTAGATATAGTCATTTTAATAGCAATGACAAATATTTAATTAAAACAGATACAAGTTGTACCATAAGGATAAGCAATAAAAAAATAAATAAATTAATTAACAGAGGTACAAGTCGTACCATTTATACGAATGACCAAAGAAAAAATACTTAATTAAAACAGGTACAAGATGTACCATAAGGGACAAGTTACAGGTACTGATATATATATATGAGTTGAGTTAACGCATAACATATATACCTCTTGTATTATGAGTATGTTTCATAACAAATTTTGGTTCATTCTGAAAATGCTTGATTTAATAATAAGTGATATTTATTTAAAAAAAATAGAAAAATTTAAAAGATAACGTGGTGGATGTAATACGAATTCGAGTATTAGATTTTTTGAAGGGTAATATTTATATTGATAATCTTAATATAAATATTACCCTTCAAAAAATCTAATACTCGAATTCGTATCACATCTATCACGTTATTTTTTAAATCTTGTTATTTTTTTAGGAAATATCACTTAGTAATGGATAAATTTTTTATAAGTACAATTTTAATGTATATTCTAACCAATTACATTAAACTTACAGGTTCAAATTAAAGATAAAGTATAACACCAATGAAGATCAAGTGGTACTACGGAACTCAAATTTCTCAAATAAACTCTTAAATTCAAGTCTTGCGAATAATAATAAAAAATGATTGAATAATAAAGCTCCATCAAAGAAGGTTGGGTCCCTTGACAAAGCGAGATAAATATGAAGAAACGTCAATGGATAATATATTCACATGAAGTCAAAGGATCACCTTGTGATTTACATAATTCAGAAAACCACATCACATATAAAAAAAATGCTAAACAGAATGCAACTTATTTTTCTTCTAAATATATAGAGAGTTAAACTATATACAATAAGCAAAAATATTATTATGACATAAGTCATACATAAATTGAATATCAAATCCAAATTATCATCAAGATATAAAAATAAATCATGGGTGAAAAAAAAAAAGGAATGTCTTGAACATGATATATGTAATACAAACAATTAGTTATGTTCATATACAAGATAATACATTATTTAAAAAAAAATATAATTTATAAAAATATATGTTAATATATATGGTAAAATGTGGTATTTTAAGTTATAATCAGATCCATCTAAAAGGTCCCAATTACGAGAGAAGGTGAAATGGATGATGGCCATATTACTAGAGAGAGGTAGAAGGAGACTGAGAAAAACTATATATAGATGAATCCATTTAATGGAACTAAAAGATCAATAGTTTACTTATGTATACGATTCATCATAAAATACTCTGATATCTTTTGACCTATTCTATGGTATTTGTTTATTACGAAGGATTTACCAATCGGGTTATATAATGTAACATTTACACTAACGATTTAAATTCCATGAAATAAAAGTTAGAGCATTCATCTAATACAATTTATATCATTGACTTTGTTCGCACCATGTTCTGGAAAGCAAAGATTCCAGAGAAAGTCAAGCTCATTCTCCAAAATTATTTGCCTGCAAATGCAACAAGATACATTTCATTTTCTTCGGGCTTGTCCTCGCTTTAGGGAATATTGGGCTAAGCCTGGGCTTTCTATTAAACGAGCTTTTCCTCACTCAAATGTTAGTGTTTGGCTACTTGATAGCACATTTGGGACATTCAGTATGATATAAACAATATCTATGTACTTCACGACAATATAATGATTTGTTACAAGATCAACATAGTAAAATAAACTTTCATATCATATTTTTCAATATAAATTTTATTTAATTTTATAAAAATTACTTATTAATTTTTAAGCTGACATCTAATTTATGTTATAATTTAGTTATAGACACGTGTCCATATTTCAATCAAATGCTATATTGAGAGAGTACCCACATTCAGGATTATTCCATTCTCCAAATCCTGCATTATTGTTTTGTGGCACCAACAATCACCAGATCATGTGGCGTCTCAAATAAATCTTCACTTAATATTCTCATTAAATTAAAAATCACTCTCTATATTTCTTCATTACTTATTTCACTTTTTTTACCTGACAAATTCATTCATTGCAAATTTATAGACCTAAGTCTAAAAAACCATCCATTGGAAACTCTCCTTCCCCTCTGCCAAAAAAATCTCTCTTATTTGATCATCTTTTGATTTTGGATACTCTTCAGTTAATTTTAGCTAGCAACATAACATCTAAAGAATATGATGGACGACTATTTATGTAGCAGAATTCATTAAACTTTTTCATAAATATGATGATAACTAGATTCTGGATTTTGTTTTATTTTTTGTCCCTCCTGAAAGAGAAATTATTCCAGATTTTGAGCACATCAATGTGAGAAACCAAACCCTAGCTCAGACATAATCTCTTCTCACTCCTGGATGAGACAACATAATCTATGACTCGATACCTTATCCCTGGTCCTTGTCTTTATCAGAAACTCCAGCAGTTCCTTCCAAGGAATTCCACCACTCTTCTAGGGCAGTCACATTTTGCACTTCCTCTTTAACATCTGCCTCAAAGCGAGACATAAAAGTTAAAAGCCCGATCTCATTCAGATTCCAAACCTTGAAGCCAAGATCAACAGAACCAAAGCGAAGAGGGGACACAACATTCTCCAGCTCCTCACCAAGGCCACAGGAAACAAGCGAAGCGTACTCAGCAGCATCAACAAGGCGAGTGTAAGTACTCGCAACAGCATAGGCTCTACCTGTTTGTTCCTCATCGGATGGGTTTGTTTCTTTGATGTCCACAAGGCTACTTGTCATCGTCTTCACGCGCATGCTTTCCATTATCGTCTTCGTGATCACCGACATGCGACACGCCCTTAGGAAGCTCGAGTTGTGCTCTTGCATGCAAAAACGAGAAATCCCTGGGATGTTCCCCATCTCAATTAGAGCTTCATGTGCTATGGGTTCAAAATGAGGCCGCAACGAACTCAGCATTCCCGATTCATTGTACTCCATGGAGCTCCCACCTGCATGTAATAATCAATATAGATAAATATAATTTTACTAGGAAAAAGGTGGTAAGAGAGATCAGAGTAATTAATCAAATTATGCAGTAGTAGAAAAGAGACACACTTACCTAACTTCATTCCTCTAAGATCCTGGAAGTGACCATTTACCCTAAACTCATTTGAAAGGATTCTGAGGCGTTCACGACTACAAATCCCGGGGAACTGAAGGGCGTATAAGAGGCCAGGGAGGGCAATGATAAAAGTGCGAGTGGTGACTCTGAGGACAACACTATCATTTGTGAGAGGCCACTTGAACTTCTCAACACAGCAGATTTTAGCAAGAATGGGACAATTTATCTGCTTGATTGTTTTTAGGGTAAATGCCCCTGCACTCACTGTTCTCACCCTCCTCGCATTGTCATACTCCATTAAGCTAAGTTCACTCATGTAGAAGCTAAATTGCACAGTGATGCATCCACGAGAGATTATGTTCTCATCTGGATATTCTGGGTTTCTTAAGCCGAATTGCATAGTTACAACAATTATTGAAAATCTGCTCTATGATTTCAATGGTAGTTCCTTCAATATACACACAAATATATTAATTAAACCACAGTTTTTAAAAGTTATTGCATAATCAAACAAACGAATAAAAAACACAGGTAATCGGGTTTAACATAGATGATTTATACTTGCTGCAATGTTTACTAACAATATAAATGTATCAATAATTGCTTCTAAATAAAAGCAAATTCATGTAAACTTCTCATGTATGTGAGAATATATTTAATAAACAATAAGAGTTTTCTGGCTAGTCAATTAGTAGAAATTGAGAGTGATTTACACAAACAAGGGAGGAGAAATCGTATTAGTTAAAGAGTTAGGAGAGATGAGGAAAAAGGAGCAGAGATATGGAGTAAGAGAGAGGTGGGAAGAGGATAGCATCTGGGGTAGAAAATGGGGAGAGAATGAAAGGAGTAATACCACAGACCACAAAGAGAAGAAGTTAATTTGCAGGGATGAAGAAGGTGGTGGAGCAAGAGTGAGATTTAAATAGGGTTAAGGAATACCAAGGTTCACGAATGTCCAAGTATCACACTCATTCTGACTCAGACATTTGACACGGGAATAGAAAATTTTATCGTCATTACCGTTTACAATTTTAAATAATAAATGACTGTGACAAATCTGAAGAAATTATTTAATGAAAATATATATTAATTAATTCATTAATATATATGGATAAACATTAATGTATTATTAACTATCACTCTTTAGTTTTAAAGTAGTTTTTTTTTTTAACTATTTTAAATTGTGGATAAAAATTTGTTTTGGAAAAGATATTTTTGAAACTATATTAATTAATTTATCATTATTTAACAATTGACACATTTAATTTTAAATATTAATATTAATACTTTTTATAAATATAATTATTTAAAGTAAATGGCATATATGTTTCTTTTTATCTCTAACTTCATTTTTGTATCAAATTATAATACTTATATTTAAAAAAAATATTTTTTTCTTTCATCCATATGTACACTTTTATGATAAAAATATTTTCCCAGCAGTTTTCTGATCTGGTGTATATTTTAGTTGGCTATAAAGTCTTAAAATTTCAAGTAATATTATTATTTGGTGTGTCAGATTTTTTTTTTTATTTTTTTTTATGGAGATAGTGTGGCATAGCATCAATGGACATTTTTTTTTATGGTTATAGCTAGAGTGTGGCATATATAGCACCCAATGTACATTTCCTGGAATGAATTAAAATCTTAATTTATGATATATAAGGCCTTCTACTAAATTCAACCTTAATGGCTCTAAAATGACAATATAAATAATTATGAGGACAATATTTAATAAATACTTAATTTTTATATCAGTATATACCATTTGTGTAAAATTTACAAATACAGTACATTTTTTCTTATTTTAAATGTATGAATTAATGCACCATTAATATAACTATTTTGCTAATTATTTAAAAATGGGGAAAGTTTATTTGGTAAGAGCTAATGTGACACCATTTTAACTTATTTATTATTAATTACACGTTTAATTTAAAATTTTGATCTTAATATGTTATATATAAAAAAATGACATTGTTTTAATTAAATAACCATTTAATTTGAGTTGGAATGAAACTTTATAAGTGATAATAGAAACTTTATATTAATTTCTCGCTCAAGTTATAATTTTTCTAAAAGAAAAATATTATGAGTATATACTGTTCAGTTTTCTTGTGACAAATAGTTTTGTTCTAATATTTTTCGTAAACAAATAAATAGGATTAATTACATTAATAAATTAAAAGCATGAAAAAAATATAAAAACTTTTAAAATAAAGCTTTATAAATTACTTATAAAAAATATTTATAAATAAAATATTATTTTAGTATATAAATAAATATAAAGTTTTTTTAAAAATGAATAAAAGTATTTAAATATATAAAATTCATTTTAAAATTATTTTTTTATTTGAAATAGATAAGGTACATGAGACTTCTTTTTAAATATTATTTTCTATTTATAATCATTTTTTAAAGATGTTCTAAATAATATTCTTAGTTTTAAATGTGTTTAGAATTGATATTAAAATAATAATTTTATTCATGAACAATTAATTTTCCTTAAAGATACTAACTATATCAATTTTTGCAATCACCTTTCTATACATGCCTAGAAGATTTTGAGTTTATGTCCTTGAGAATTATTTGGAAATAAAAGTAATTTAACAATTTAGTGCCTTCTCATATAATTTCAAAAGTGAAATTTGGTTTGATTAAAATTTGATTTTCAAATTCAAATTGAACTAATTTATTCGAACAAAATTACTTGAAACAAGCTTAACTGGTTTAAACATCACTCATTTCATTTGTTTTTTTTTTAATTATTTTATTGATATAGTACTGAATAATTATTTTAATATTATATAATTATTTGTTATAAAAAAAGTGTTTAACAAGTGATACGTGAAATTCGAAATTTTTGGGGAATATTACAGTTTTGTAATTTAATAAATAAATAATTCATAGCACATTGACTATTTAACAAACTTCAAAATCAATTTTTCAATAAAGTTCGATCTATAGATTGATTTTTTTCAATAAATTATAATCAATATTTTTCAATAAATTCAAAAGTAATATTAATAAATATTATCATCAATAGTTTTTTTTACCAATAATTCATTCTAAAAAATAGCTCAGTTATTTTATATTTTTATATTTTAAATAAATTATTCACGAGACTTTAATACCCTGTTTTGAATTTTTAGTTCGATCCGTTATCAAATTTAATCTTAAATTTAAAATTATTTTATAAAAATAAATGAGTTTGAACTAGTAATTGATGAAATATTAACAAAAATACCAATAGTTTTACTGAATTACACTCTATATGTTTATAAATAATATTAGAGAAAGTTGTTTTTATTCTTTTTAAGTTGATTTAATTACTATTTTCATTATTTAGTTTCGATTATGTTTTATTTTTAATTCATTGACTTATATGTTATGTTCTAACATGTTTTGTTTAATTAAAATAAAATAATAATATACGGCCGCATCCATGTGTTTTTTTTTTTTTTTTTTTGTCAACAACCAATATTCGGTGCATGGTTCCACTCACCTAAGTTCGCCCAATTTAACAAAAGTCTCAATTCCTTTTAATTATTTTAAAATGGACAAATTAATAACTATATATATATATATATATATATATATATATATATATATATATATATGAAAAAGTCATATTTTAAAATAAGATATCAGTAAATAAATTATGTACTAAAATACGATTTTTTTTAATGCAGAAATAGCATGTTGATATACAATTTTAATATTTTTTTCATTATTTATTTTTATTAAAGCCATGATACATGATTTTAGTTATATATTTTCTTAAGTTATTCATTAATTTAAAAATTTAATTATTATTTTTTTAGATTTATTTATTATTAAAAATTATTTTAATAGATAATAAAATTAATAATTTTAAGATATTTAGATATTAATATTATTAAATAAATTTGAAATAAATTAAATTGTTTAAAAATATTAATATGGTCACAAAAAATATTGTAAAAAAATAAAAGATACATTTAAAAAATACAATATATTTGATAACAGAAAACTATTGTTTGTCTTATATATTATCTCTAATTTAATAAAAAAATTCAATAATACAAAATACAAATTTTCATCATGAGAATTGTTCATATCAACTATAAAAATATAAAATTTATTTTTTTAACAATATATTAATATTTATTTTCATCATAATATTATTTTATTTTATTAGTATCTAAATAACCAAAAACTATTTATTTTATTAATTATAATTATGAAAATAAAAATTTTAATAATTAAAGAATTAAAAATAAAACTAACTATGGTTAATTGATTGATCACTTAAGAAAATTATAATTAAAAGTATGTTTCAACGCACAATTTTAATAAAGAAAATAATAAAAATTTAAATTTGTATATTAATATACTACTTTTTTTTTATTAACGAAAAAATTTTATTTTATACTATTTTTTGTAATGAAATCTTATTAAAAAACATGACTTACTTATATCTATTTTTTAAAAATATTTATTTTAAGAAGAAGGAAAATTTCACCTTTCGGTAAATTGGTCTCAAAATTCACCTACAAATATTTAAATATTCATAAATATTTTAAAAGATTAATTTTGATGTAATAGACATATAAAACATAAATTTATATCAGAAATTTAAATATATACAATTATTTTTAATTTAAACAACATAAATTTTAAAATAGTTTTTCGTTAGTCACATTTTAAAACGGATAATTTTTTATAATTAGTATTTCTCATAGCATTTTTAAATTAGTTCATTTGAAATTAATATTTTATATATTCAATATTTAGTAAAAGTATATAAATTTAGTTTACAAGTTATTTTAATATTTTAAATTAATAATATTAATATATCAATTTTGAAATTATTATATATATAATTAGAATGATCATATTCATTATTTAAAAATCTGAAATATTAAAATTATTAACAAAATTGAAAATACTAATTTTAGTTTCAAATAATTTTAAAAGTATAAAAAAACATTCTACATTAAGATAATGTTGAATGAGGGTATATGAGATTATTGGATTATTTGGAGGTGAAGTGAATTTACACTACTGCAGAAAAGACTTTTTACGTTGGTTAAAATGGGCTTTCGACGTCGGTTAAAGCGGCGATATAGATACAGGGGTCATAGAAAGTAAACCTTTTTACGTCGGTTCCTCGACTAACCGACGTAGAAAGTCTTACTTTCTATGTCGGTTTACATCGATAATCGACATAGAAAGTCTTATTTTCTATAACCCCTGTATCTATATCGGTTAACAATAATCGTGATTGTATGTGATATCAATGTTGGTTATGCTTATAACCGACGTAGAAAGTGTGTATTTTTTTTACAGAACCTGCATTTTCTTCACAGATCCTACCTTTCTTCGAGTAGACCTGCCTATTCATCATAGTTACAGACAGATATTCACAGTTCCAAACACTTGTGCAGACAAATATGCACAGTTCATATATAGTTCCAGACAAATATGTACATATGAAACATATTGAAATCAATATATGTACCTCATAGTTCCAGACAGTTCATTTACTTAAACGAATATAAATTTACTAACTTAAATCAATTCAATCAAAATTGTTACAAGTCAAATTTGTTATGAAGATTGAATACTTAAAAGGAAAGAAGTCCACTGCTCTCTAATATCGTCTAACACTTCAATCTTCAATGGAGATGAGTCTGTAAATTCCTACATATTGAAACATTTCAGATTTAGAAACCATTTACATAATTGGCATATTTGACTTAATTATAGTATATTTACCTCCCTCCATGAGTCAATAATATTTGTGGATACGATGGTGTGCATGTGCTTCATCACATAATACCCGCACTCATGGCTTCCCGGTTGGCGTGGACACTACAAGTTAAATACATGTCAGATTAACTTTAAATGACAAATTGAACAACAGTAAGAGGAATGTTTGGTCACCTTTGGTGCAATATACGTCAACTTCTTTCTAGCATGAGATGGAAGGCCTTGCAACATTAAGTGAGCTTCCAAAGCTCTACAAAAGGACAAAAATTAATTATAATAGAACCTAATTTTGGTGTAAGTGCACATATGATACAACAATTAAAAAAACCAAACTTATGCGTTTATGTGCTTTCTAGTATCCAAATCATTTGGTTTCTTGTGTAACACAAGAGAATCACAAGAAATTGCCGAGGAACAATAATTATGAGCTGCCAATGATACCTGCACGTTGAAATAATATTAGTAAAATTTCAGTTTTACATAAATGTGCATTAATTTATAAGATGTATACTTACTAATGCAAGTAAGGTGCTAAGTAGACTTCTTTGCCCCCATTTTGAAATGTCTCTATTAAGTACGTTTGCACCTCTTCAGCTTTATTCCCAACGGACTGAATGGCAACAGGGTCAACAAATCCATAGATAAAGGCAATCTTCCTCTCAACACACAAACGATGTAAATACCTTCAACATTGAAAATAAATAAAGTTATAAAATAATGTACCAGTGCGAATATCAAAAATATGTAAATTTACTTACAATTCCCAAAGCTGCAACACTGATACACATAGCATATCAGTACCAGCGAGAATATCAAAAATATCCCTTTGGAGTAAGAAAAAAGGGATCGTCTTGGTCCTGCATACGACTTCGGGTGACATATCTAACTGTATGGGAGTGGTCCCGATAGTCGCTGCTAGTGTACCGAGTCGCTATAAAGCACTCGGTGGTGGTGGTGATTCATGCACAACTTCCTTTGCTTTTTCAGCCTCTTTCTATACAAGTACAAAAAATAAATAACAT